ATCGTCGAAAGTTACAGTTTAAGTTGCTGCTTGGCTTGACTCCCGGCAACAGTTGCATCTGGTGATTGGCAGCAGCCAGCCGAACAGCCACCAGATAATCAGAATTCCAACATTTTCACCTGTTGCCGTTTGCTGCTGCTTGCAGTTTGACATGTGCCGCACATGCCGTTGCCATTTGTCTGCACTTTAATGACGCACCACGTCCAGCAGCAGCAACAGCAGCAAGGCAGCAGCAGCAGCAGCAGCAGCATCAGCTCGAGCAACAGCACCACTCCAATCCTCGCCTCGACGGCAGCAATCAGCTAAGCATCTTGGCGCGTTGACAATCTATGCGCATAGTTTAGCATTTACTGTTGGAATTATTGAACCACATGCGAAGTTCGAGTTGCAGTCGCTGACCCACTTGCTTCACCAGCTGATTTCTGCCCGCTCTGTCATGGACTGGAAAACGGCACTTGGCCGCGTCGGATGGGCAGCGCCTGGGGCGAACATCATCAATGGGCAACGGCCACCACCCTTGGTCAGCCTCAAAGTGTCATTAGTATGTTAATTTCACAGAAAATTCATACGCAGCGTGGTACGCCTGCAATGCAATTGCCAATGCGCATATTTAAATGTCTGTTTAGTGTGACTGTTCCTTCGTGTTGCTACTGTACTCATACCCTGCACGCCTAAGCTTGGAGCAGGGTTGATTGGCTAAAAAAAAAAATTTACCAAAAATACATTTATTTTATTTTATTTTGCTATACTACTGACAATTCATTCAGGGAAAGCTCGATAAATTATAGCTCAAAAGCAACTTCATTTCCGCTTTCCCTTTAAACTTCTGCTCGCTCAGAAGAGTCTTATTCTGTGAAGCGTTCACCAATTCTGATGATCTTGGCCCAATCGTACAAACTTGATCAATTAGGCATTTAAATTTAGCTCTTATCCATTTAAGTATTTCTCCATTTTAATAACGGACAATTGGCACCTGGCCACATATGTACTAGTTTCTTTTTGTATGGGCACCGTGAAGTGTAACGAATTTCAATTCGCCGACCTCCCGCACACACACGCGCAGCGAAAAAATATTAGAAAAGACATCAAGGGGAAATAAGGGGGACATACGCAATAGCAATAGCAACTGCAATCAAATGCGTAGTTGACCCCTGGCTTGGCCTCGGCAAAAAACAAATAAACAACACAGCAAAAGACACTTGGTAAATGCAAAAAGGGGCACCTACAGAATTTGCATAGGAAAAACATCATTTCCGCCAACACAAAGCGGCCAAGGGGCGGTTTTGTTGGTCGCAGGGGGTTGGGGAGGTGGTCTATCGTATACATTACAAGTACTCGCATTCGTACTCACACTTGTTCTCATACTCATACTCTTACTATCTATCCACGTACTCTCAGCAGGAGGCCTTCGATGGGCCGCACACAATGGGGACTCAGATTTAACTAGAAACTGTACTTTCCAATCGCATTGAATGATGTGGTGCGGTGGGGTTCGGTGCGGTGCGGTACGGTGGTCAGCTCAATTTATGGTCAGTGCCATCATTGCTAGGCATGTGAAAAATGCGTGCAAAACGACAGCGCTTGCCACACTAATTAGTTTGTCTTTTGGCTTGCCTAGAACTTGGCAAGCGGAACAAGGCGGGGCAGCGGCTCAAGTTGGATCATTGGCGACTCGCCGACTTGCCGCCTTGCTACCTCGATTGCCAGCGGGCTGCTGCATAATTTAGGTAGCAAGAGCAGCCGCCGTAAAACGAACGAATTCCAAAGTCCTGTCAGACCCGGGCCTCATGGCCGATGTTCATGGTCAGATCATTTTGCCAGGCCTTAAACGCCCACACAACAGACGCTGCCTCTGTGGCTGTTGTGCTTAATTTCCTGGAATGAATCACTGCTCTGGGCCATGCTAATACTGAAAATTTAAAAGTTAAGGTTGTACTGATAGCACTGAAGCTGGGATACCCTAAGCAAGAAATCAAAATTATACGCTGTTATTCGGCTAAGGCCGCAATATATCGAATGTCGGGCTAGAAAAGATCTTACTATTTATAGAATAATATCTCAATTACTAGATGAACTCCATTTTGGAAATAGGGTATAAATATGTGCTTGGTAAATTCCATGTTAAATTCCCACCGATTGTGATTAAAGGCCGTAATTGCTTAATTGTATTTTTATTCTTTACTGAACTCAAAGAAAGGGTATTAATGTGTACGCGGCAGCCCACTGAGAAATCCTGTTGTCTTTGTCTTCTCTTCTCTTAGACATTTTCATAATTGGTAACCGAGTTGGCTTTGAAAATATGGCAAACTCATATGCAAGGTTATACATACATATATATATATATATATATATATATTTATATATATATGACTGTGTGTAGAGATCTGTTTTCTTCTATAAGCTATTTTATATGCTAAAATGGTGCCTAAGAATACGAGAAGCCTTCGGCTGTACGCAAAACAACGCGACCGAGAACCGCAGGGACAATCTTCTCAATTCTTCTCCTTTCTAAAGGTTCCCTTGGGGTAAGTTTTCATGAGTCATTCCATATATATAGATGTATTTATATATTTTTATGTTAACCAGTTGTGTAACGTGTCTTTTGCTTCAGCTCGTTGGTGTACCATAATCCAAAATTGCATCAAGAGTACCAGCCAATGTCGTATGAAATATACCACTAATGCATTAAGAACATTTAAATAAGCATCTAATACTTAGGGATTTGGAGGCCCTCGTTAATCTAATCAAATGCACTTTTGGCACGGGAATTCTGGCAATGCCCAGAGCCTACTACAATGCTGGCTGGCTGCTAGGTTTGATAAGCACAGTTCTGGTTGCAGGCATTGTGGTATATTCCTTGCATGTATTGGTAGCGTTTTTAGGGCCCAAGAACCCAAAATATTTAACATGATTTTGCATTTATCACAGATCTACGACATCAATAAGCTATGCAAACGCTATAAGATGAAAATGCTTAGCTACAGTGAGGCCATGCAGCTGGCCATTTTGAATGGACCCGTCTGGGCAAGACCTCTAAATAAATATTTTTCGTGAGTTGATGCTACTTAAGATCAATATGGTGTACACATATATCGAAAATTGATCTAATAGCCGCCAGGTGGATATATTTCTGTGCATTTATCATTTCGGTGTGGATTGTGTATATGTGGTGTTTATGGGCAAGAACATCAAGAAACTGGCCGACATATATTTTAAACCTGTCGATACCCGTATTTATATGGCGCTGATCACTGTGCCTCTGATCTTAACCTTTCTCATACGCGATCTCAAGTATCTGGTACCATTTTCCATCATCTCAAATGTGTTAATGCTCATCAGTAAGCTTTCGAACTTGATCGAAGGATTTACTGATTATTTTGCTAACTTTCTTTTAGGCTTTGGTTTAATTTTAAGCTATTTTTTGAACGATTTACCAAGTCTGTCGGAGCGAACAGCCATACAAAGTTTATCTAAGTATCCGCTGTTCTTTGGCACAATTCTGTTTTCAATCGAGGCGGTGGGCGTGGTAGCTCATACCAACATATTTTTGAAACTTTCAGATTACAATTGTTTCGTTTCCAGATCCTTGCACTCCAACTGCACATGACAACGCCTGAGAATTATTTGGGAACGTTTGGTGTGCTGAATCGGGCCATGATAATTGTTGTTATTTTTTATGCATCCTTTGGCTTTTTGGGCTACTGGCAGTTCGGGGATGAAACCTCTAGTTCTATAATCAACAATCTGCCCGCCGATGAAACGTGCGTGCCACTACTGCAAAAAATACTTAATTGTCTAATCGTTTCATGTCAATTATTCAACAGCGTGCCTCAATGTATTATAGCCTTGTTCACAATAGCCATATTTTTTAGCTATGCGCTGCAGGGCTACGTAACCATTGAGATAATCTGGCGCAGCTATATGACGCCTAGACTTATGGCGAATGCCACGAAATCGGTAGAGTATCTATTGCGTATGGCCATGGTGGTTGCCTCCGTTCTTTGCGCCATTTCATATCCCGATTTTGGTCTACTGCTCTCCTTTGTGGGCTCCTTCTGTCTGGCTCAGCTGGGCTTTATTTATCCGGCGCTTATTAATATATTCGTTTGTTATAGCGAAGGCTATGGACCATGCAAAATATTCCTTTTGCGCTCTCTGTTTTTCATTTTTATTGGGTTGTGCGGAGGCATTGCTGGCACTATGATCTCAGTAGCAGCCATAAAAGAAAAATATGACAATCGTATCTTATTTTTTCTAAGTGCTTTTCACATAACCACATAAAATGTAATTTTTATATATTCCAAAATTTATAAAATTGAAAATCAGATTTAATTACTGGAAATTGCCTTCATATTGTAATTGTAAGAACTTGGTTACTACTCAGAAGTACTTCTCATATATATATATAACGGACTTAATAAAAGGAATATTTTGAAGTAGCAATTTTATCAGTTAGTTGTTGCAACTAAGGAAACGCTCAGTTTATTCCAAATTGTGAATACTCCTGCAAAAGAAAATTCCAGAAGGCATTCTGGCGGAAGGCCGACGACATGAGAAGGTATACGAAATGAAGACATTTGCAAGTACTTACATACATTCAGAAATTGCCAATAAAGATAGAAATTTGTCATGACATGCATTACAACTTTAATGTACTCACTTTTATCAATTTTATTCATAAATTAAATAGTTTTTAATTATTCCAAACAATTTTTCTTATAAATTGTTTCATATTTCAGTTCAGGCCATTTTCAAGTGAGACTAGTACAATTGCCCGCCCCACTTTGTCGTTCTATTATCTCTTCGACTCGCGTTTGTTTTGCCGTAGATAAACTCATGAAAATGACTTTATTTATCAGCGACTTGCTACTGCTTGGTCTTCCGAAACTGTACAAGTTCCGATTACATGATATTTCACGTGATGAAAGGTCCAGCTAAAATGATTGTGTCCTAGTCGTGCATTTCCGACTTCGACACCTTTGCTTTTCTTTATGTTTAAATCTTTCAATAACTTCTAAATGATTTGAAAATTCAAAGCATTTCACAAACCCTGAAAACTGGCACAATAAAATTTTAAGCAACACAAATTTTTTCTTAAAAGTGTGTAAAAACTAAATTTATATTTTCCAAAATTTACAATTTTGTAATGGGCGATGGGTAAGATACGTTTAGATAAAAACTAGTTATGGTAATACATCTAACTACTCTACACTTATCAACAGCGGCTACAATCCCTATGACAACCGCGATGTGGAGAAGCCACTATCGTAAGCCGGCCTTATTATTTCATTTGTAATATCATCGATTTCACTCAAACAGCTATCTTATAGGACTTGTGAGGCTTTCATGACCTTACTTAAGTGCGTTATTGGCACTGGCATTTTATCCATGCCCTTGGCCTTTAAGTATTGTGGCATTATTGGAGGCGTAGTGATGACAACTCTCTGTACTGCCCTAGTCATTTATGGAATGCAACTACTGGTAAACCATATATGTCGAAATATGATGCAATTCATATAAATAAACCCCCTCGCAGATAAAGTGTATGATTGAATCCAGCCGTCGCAATCAGGTAGGCTATATGAATTTCCCAGAAACAATGGTATTTTCCTTTAGTGTGGGCCCAAAGTGCTGTCAGTCTATATCCAAGGGAGTCAGCCCGTTGGTGGATATTATTTTGTGTATTGCGCACTATGGTGTCAACGTAGTGTATCACGTGTTCGTTTCCATACATTTCAAGGAACTTTCAGATATTTATATAACTACCTGCGATTTAAGAGTTGTTTGTGCTATAGTTGGGCTTTTATTCTTGCCCCTGTTTCTTGTGCGTCAGCTGAAGTATCTTGTGCCCTTCTCGATAATTGCAAATATATTGATCTACTTAAGCCTCTGCACCATTTGCTATTATATGTTCAGAGGCTTGCCCAACCTTAGTGATAATCGTATGCTGCCCTTAAGTGTTTTAGATATCCCCATATTCGTGGGAATCGTCATGTTTGCCACGTCGTCTGTCGGTGTGGTAAGTCAGCCAGTCTACAGGTTAACCAATTCCCTTCCATCTTAAACTCATACCCATTACCGCAGATGCTGGCTGTTGAGGCCAAAATGGCTAAGCCTGCCCTTTACTTGGGTTGGTTCGGTATTTTGAGCTTGTGTGCCGTCTTCGTTTGCCTCACGAATATGATTTTCGGATTTCTTGGCTACTGGCGTTATGGTGATAACATAGCCGCTAGTGTTACCATTAATCTGCCCGGGAAGGAAATGTAAGTATTCCAATTTAATTAATAAGGGCAACTACTAAATACGTCTATATAATTTTATAACAGCGTCGCGCAGCTTACTAAGTTGGGCATTGCACTTGCTGTCTATTTTACCTACCCTCTGAGTGGCTATGTTCCCATAGAGATCATCATGAACCATTATCTGAATAAAAATGGCAAACTGAAGCATCCCCATATGATTGAGTACATAATACGCATTGCTTTCGTAATTGTAATTACATTGAATGCCATTGCTTTTCCGAATTTGGGTCCACTCGTGGCGTTGGTTGGTGCCTTTGCTATATCCCTACTAAATCTAATATTCCCATGCTGTATAGAAATGTGCCTTTTATATCACGATTCGTATGGAAGACTTAAGTGGATATTAATCAAGAACATTCTTATGATCATATTTGGGATGTTTGTCCTTTGTTATGGCAGCTATAGTGCTATTAGGGATATGGTTCAAGATTATAGTCGCAAATAAGAAGCGAAAACAATATCTACCTTGAATGATACAGAAACAGCGTCTTCTAATAAGATCACCAAGAAGAATCAAAATAGTGCACATGCACTTTCTTTTGCAAAATATGCCCCTTTACTAGAAAATACTCTTTTATATCTACTGAATGCAGCTATTTCCATATGTTTGGCACATTTTATAGGTAAATATACATCTTTTTTTATCAAACAAACACTTTTCACAAAGCTCACCCGCGCCAGGTGGATATATTTATTACATGACAAGGCCAGAGAATTACTTGGGAACGTTTGGTGTGCTGTTGTTGTTTTTTATGCATCCGTGGACTTTTTGGGCTATTGGTGGCAGTTCGGGGATGAGACCTCTAGTTCTATAATCAACAATCTACCCACCGATGAAACGTACGTACTGCAAACAAAGCATAATTGTCCTATCGTTTCATCGTTTCAATTATTCAAAAGCGTTCACAATAGCCATATTTTATAGCTACGCGCTGCAGTTACCATTGAGATAATCTGGCGCTGCTATATGAAGCCTAGACTTATGGCGAATGCCACCAAATCGGTAGAGTATCTATTGCGCATGGTCATGGTAGTTGCCTTCGTTCTTTGTGCCATTGCATATCCAGATTTTGGTCTACTACTCTCCTTCGTGGGATCCTTCTGTCTGGCTCAGCTGAGATTTATTTATCCATTTATTTATCCAAATATGACAATCAAATCTTATTTTTTCTAAGTGCTTTTCACATAACCACATAAAATGTGATTTTGTATATTCCAAAATTTATAAAACTTTTCCAAAAATGTTGGTTATTAAAAAATCATATTTAAATCCTGGAAAACGCCTTCATATTGTAATTTTAAGAACTTGGTTACTACTCAGATGAACTTCTCATATATATATATATATAAGGGACCTAATAAAAGGAATATTTTGAAGAAGTAATTTTATCAGTTTGTTGTTGCAACATAGGCTCAATTTTTACCAAATTCGGAAATTTGTCATGACATGCATTTACACTATACAAATTTAATGTACTCACTTTTTTATTCATAAATTAAAAAGTTTTTAATATTTTAAGCAAGTTTTCTTATAAATTGTTTCATAATTCAGTTCAGTCCATTTTCAAGTGAGACTTGTACAATTGCCCGCCCCACTTTGTCGTTCTATGCTCTCTTCGACTCGCGTTTGTTTTGCCGTAGATAAACTCATGAAAATGACTTTATTTAGCAGCAACGGTTTTATGCCTTGCTAATGCTTGGCCTTCCGATATCGTACAAAGGCCAATTACATGAAATTTCACGTGATGAAAAGTACAGCTGAAAAGATCCTAGTCGTGCACTTCCGAGCACGACACCTTTGCTTTTCTTTATGTTTCCCATTAAATCTTTCAAAAACTCATTAGTTAATTTGAAAATTCAAAGCATTTCACAAACCTTGAAAATAGCAAAATAAAAAGTATGCTTGCGTATAGGAATGTCACTTTTCTTGTGTTTAAAATTGGTCATCTTTTACGTTAAAATAGAAACTGCTCAGCTTGATAATTGCCTATTTCATAAGATTTTTGTGTATATTTTTGATATAGCAAATAACTTAGTGTCCCTTGGTTTTAATATCAACCTTAGCTTTTAATTCTGAAAACTTCGAAATGGCACAGAGGTATGTGATTTTCTTCTAGCATTTTTATCCATATTGCAATATCTCTATAGTTAATTGCTTTTTACCTACTTATTAACAGCAACTTTAATCCATATGAAAATCGAAATGTGGAATCACCATTATCGTAAGTCTATTCCATATAAACTCATTCTCGCTCATCAGGCTATCCCAAAGCAATTGCGATGCTTTAACCTCGCTGATGAAGTGCGTCGTTGGCACTGGGATTTTGGCCTTGCCCCTCGCCTTTCACTACGCTGGTTTTATTGCTGGCGCCGTTCTGACTGCCTGTTGCACCGCCCTACTTGTTTATGAAATGCAACTACTAGTAGGCAAAGTATATCTAATATAATATCTAATATATCATATATAACATCTCCCTGACAGATTTCGTGTATGGTCGAGAGCAGTCGCCGCAATAGTGTTGGTTATATGACATTTCCCGAGACAGTAGAGTATTCCTTCAGTGTGGGGCCGAAGTGTTGTCGATGTATATCCAAAGTAGTCGGTTTTTTTATAGATGGTATTCTGGCATTTTCACACTATGGTGTTTGTGTAGTGTATATCGTGTTTGTGGCCTTAAATATCAAACAGCTTTTAGACTCAGTGTGGCCTAATGTAGGTGTATGGGTTTATTGTGCAGCGGTGGGGCTCTTATTAATACCATTGTTTCTCTTGCGTCAACTGAAGTATCTGGTACCTACAAATATGCTTGCGACTATTCTGCTCTATGTGGGATTCGCGTGCATCTTGTATTACTTTTGTATAGGCTTACCCTCCCTGGGTGAACGAGACCTGTTTAAATATGACCTGGCCTTATTTTTTGGCATTGTATTGTTTGCTGTTTCCTCGGTGGGTGTGGTAAGTCAAAGTTATATCTAACAGCTCAATCAATATTCTTCAATATTCTTCCACATTATTGCAGATGTTGGCTATAGAGCAAAAAATGGCTAAGCCCGCCCAGTATTTGGGCTGGTGTGGTGTTTTATCCCGCGGCGGTATCTTTGTAACCGTCACATATATTCTTTTTGGGTCTTTTGGCTACTGGCGCTATGGTGATAAGGTGGAAGGTAGTATCACTTTAAATGTGCCAACCGAGGAACTGTAAGTGTTATATTTTTTGGATTTCGATAACATGCACATATTATTATATATATGTTTGCACATTTAAACCAGCCTTGCGAAGTTTATCAAGGTGTTTATATCAGTTGCTGTTTTTCTTACATATCCTTTGAGCGGCTATGTTCCCATCGACATTATCATGAATCATTATCTGAAAAAGAATCGCGAACTGAAGCATCCCCATATGATTGAGTACATAATACGCACTGCTTTCGTAATTGTATGCACATTGAATGCCATTGCTTTTCCCAATTTGGCTCCGCTCTTGGCTTTGGTTGGTGCATTTTCTATATCCATACTTAATATAATTGCCCCATGCTGCATTGAGCTATGCCTGTTCTATGACGATACGTATGGGAAGTTGAAATGGAAGCTTTGGAAGAATATAGTTATTATTTTATTTGGCACCCTTGTTTTAGTATACGGAAGCTATCGCGCAATGGTTGATATAATCAGAGAGTATGGTGGCAAGACAGCTTCTACAAAAGTAAGAGTCGAAACTCCAGAGGTAATATGATGTCTAGTACCATAGCTCCACTTGATCAAGGTTACTTTTAATCGCTCTTAATACTTAATAAAGTTACATTTAAACCTGTATGATACAGCATCTCTACATTAGGGAGCTTTGTTTTAATGGAGAACAGATTTGGGATCTTTTCAAAGTTCGTTTGACATCGTAAATTAATCGAGAGTTGAAAGGTCAACTACAAGACAGCTCCTAGTCGCAGGGTTTTCACAAACCCTGAAAACTGGCAGAATAAAATTGTAAGCAACACAAATTTTTTTTTAAAAGTGTGTAAAAACAAAATTTATATTTTCCAAAATTTACAATTTTGTAATGGGCGATGGGTAAGATACGTTTAGATAAAAACTAGTTATGGTAATACATCTAACTACTCTACACTTATCAACAGCGGCTACAATCCCTATGACAACCGCGATGTGGAGAAGCCACTATCGTAAGCCGGCCTTATTATTTCATTTGTAATATCATCGATTTCACTCAAACAGCTATCTTATAGGACTTGTGAGGCTTTCATGACCTTACTCAAGTGCGTTATTGGCACTGGCATTTTATCCATGCCCTTGGCCTTTAAGTATTGTGGCATTATTGGAGGCGTAGTGATGACAACTCTCTGTACTGCCCTAATCATTTATGGAATGCAACTACTGGTAAACCATATATGTCGAAATATGATGCAATTCATATAAATAAACCCCCTCGCAGATAAAGTGTATGATTGAATCCAGCCGTCGCAATCAGGTAGGCTATATGAATTTCCCAGAAACAATGGTGTTTTCCTTTAGTGTGGGCCCAAAGTGCTGTCAGTCTATATCCAAGGGAGTCAGCCCGTTGGTGGATATTATTTTGTGTATTGCGCACTATGGTTTCAACGTAGTGTATCACGTGTTCGTTTCCATACATTTCAAGGAACTTTCAGATATTTATATAACTACCTGCGATTTAAGAGTTGTTTGTGCTATAGTTGGGCTTTTATTCTTGCCCCTGTTTCTTGTGCGTCAGCTGAAGTATCTTGTGCCCTTCTCGATAATTGCAAATATATTGATCTACTTAAGCCTCTGCACCATTTGCTATTATATGTTCAGAGGCTTGCCCAACCTTAGTGATAATCGTATGCTGCCCTTAAGTGTTTTAGATATCCCCATATTCGTGGGAATCGTCATGTTTGCCACGTCGTCTGTCGGTGTGGTAAGTCAGCCAGTCTACAGGTTAACCAATTCCCTTCCATCTTAAACTCATACCCATTACCGCAGATGCTGGCTGTTGAGGCCAAAATGGCTAAGCCTGCCCTTTACTTGGGTTGGTTCGGTATTTTGAGCTTGTGTGCCGTCTTCGTTTGCCTCACGAATATGATTTTCGGATTTCTTGGCTACTGGCGTTATGGTGATAACATAGCCGCTAGTGTTACCATTAATCTGCCCGGGAAGGAAATGTAAGTATTCCAATTTAATTAATAAGGGCAACTACTAAATACGTCTATATAATTTTATAACAGCGTCGCGCAGCTTACTAAGTTGGGCATTGCACTTGCTGTCTATTTTACCTACCCTCTGAGTGGCTATGTTCCCATAGAGATCATCATGAACCATTATCTGAATAAAAATGGCAAACTGAAGCATCCCCGTATGGTTGAATACGCAATCCGCATTGCTTTCGTAATTGTAATTACATTGAATGCCATTGCTTTTCCGAATTTGGGTCCACTCGTGGCGTTGGTTGGTGCCTTTGCTATATCCCTACTAAATCTAATATTCCCATGCTGTATAGAAATGTGCCTTTTATATCACGATTCGTATGGAAGACTTAAGTGGATATTAATCAAGAACATTCTTATGATCATATTTGGGATGTTTGTCCTTTGTTATGGCAGCTATAGTGCTATTAGGGATATGGTTCAAGATTATAGTCGCAAATAAGAAGCGAAAACAATATCTACCTTGAATGAGACAGAAACAGCGTCTTCTAATAAGATCACCAAGAAGAATCAAAATAGTGCACATGCACTTTCTTTTGCAAAATATGCCCCTTTACTAGAAAATACTCTTTTATATCTACTGAATGCAGCTATTTCCCTCAAAGTGACAGAATTGGACATGTATGTACATATGTTTGGCACATTTTAAAGGTAAATATACATCTTTTTTTATCAAACAAACACTTTTCACAAAGCTCACCCGCGCCAGGTGGATATATTTATGTGCATTTATCATATCGGTGCTGTTCTTTGGCACAATTCTGTTTTCAATCGAGGCGTTTGGTGTGCTGTTGTTGTTTTTTATGCATCCGTGGACTTTTTGGGCTATTGGTGGCAGTTCGGGGATGAGACCTCTAGTTCTATAATCAACAATCTACCCACCGATGAAACGTACGTACTGCAAACAAAGCATAATTGTCCTATCGTTTCATCGTTTCAATTATTCAAAAGCGTTCACAATAGCCATATTTTATAGCTACGCGCTGCAGTTACCATTGAGATAATCTGGCGCTGCTATATGAAGCCTAGACTTATGGCGAATGCCACCAAATCGGTAGAGTATCTATTGCGCATGGTCATGGTAGTTGCCTTCGTTCTTTGTGCCATTGCATATCCAGATTTTGGTCTACTACTCTCCTTCGTGGGATCCTTCTGTCTGGCTCAGCTGAGATTTATTTATCCATTTATTTATCCAAATATGACAATCAAATCTTATTTTTTCTAAGTGCTTTTCACATAACCACATAAAATGTGATTTTGTATATTCCAAAATTTATAAAACTTTTCCAAAAATGTTGGTTATTAAAAAATCATATTTAAATCCTGGAAAACGCCTTCATATTGTAATTTTAAGAACTTGGTTACTACTCAGATGAACTTCTCATATATATATATATATAAGGGACCTAATAAAAGGAATATTTTGAAGAAGTAATTTTATCAGTTTGTTGTTGCAACATAGGCTCAATTTTTACCAAATTCGGAAATTTGTCATGACATGCATTTACACTATACAAATTTAATGTACTCACTTTTTTATTCATAAATTAAAAAGTTTTTAATATTTTAAGCAAGTTTTCTTATAAATTGTTTCATAATTCAGTTCAGTCCATTTTCAAGTGAGACTTGTACAATTGCCCGCCCCACTTTGTCGTTCTATGCTCTCTTCGACTCGCGTTTGTTTTGCCGTAGATAAACTCATGAAAATGACTTTATTTAGCAGCAACGGTTTTATGCCTTGCTAATGCTTGGCCTTCCGATATCGTACAAAGGCCAATTACATGAAATTTCACGTGATGAAAAGTACAGCTGAAAAGATCCTAGTCGTGCACTTCCGAGCACGACACCTTTGCTTTTCTTTATGTTTCCCATTAAATCTTTCAAAAACTCATTAGTTAATTTGAAAATTCAAAGCATTTCACAAACCTTGAAAATAGCAAAATAAAAAGTATGCTTGCGTATAGGAATGTCACTTTTCTTGTGTTTAAAATTGGTCATCTTTTACGTTAAAATAGAAACTGCTCAGCTTGATAATTGCCTATTTCATAAGATTTTTGTGTATATTTTTGATATAGCAAATAACTTAGTGTCCCTTGGTTTTAATATCAACCTTAGCTTTTAATTCTGAAAACTTCGAAATGGCACAGAGGTATGTGATTTTCTTCTAGCATTTTTATCCATATTGCAATATCTCTATAGTTAATTGCTTTTTACCTACTTATTAACAGCAACTTTAATCCATATGAAAATCGAAATGTGGAATCACCATTATCGTAAGTCTATTCCATATAAACTCATTCTCGCTCATCAGGCTATCCCAAAGCAATTGCGATGCTTTAACCTCGCTGATGAAGTGCGTCGTTGGCACTGGGATTTTGGCCTTGCCCCTCGCCTTTCACTACGCTGGTTTTATTGCTGGCGCCGTTCTGACTGCCTGTTGCACCGCCCTACTTGTTTATGAAATGCAACTACTAGTAGGCAAAGTATATCTAATATAATATCTAATATATCATATATAACATCTCCCTGACAGATTTCGTGTATGGTCGAGAGCAGTCGCCGCAATAGTGTTGGTTATATGACATTTCCCGAGACAGTAGAGTATTCCTTCAGTGTGGGGCCGAAGTGTTGTCGATGTATATCCAAAGTAGTCGGTTTTTTTATAGATGGTATTCTGGCATTTTCACACTATGGTGTTTGTGTAGTGTATATCGTGTTTGTGGCCTTAAATATCAAACAGCTTTTAGACTCAGTGTGGCCTAATGTAGGTGTATGGGTTTATTGTGCAGCGGTGGGGCTCTTATTAATACCATTGTTTCTCTTGCGTCAACTGAAGTATCTGGTACCTACAAATATGCTTGCGACTATTCTGCTCTATGTGGGATTCGCGTGCATCTTGTATTACTTTTGTATAGGCTTACCCTCCCTGGGTGAACGAGACCTGTTTAAATATGACCTGGCCTTATTTTTTGGCATTGTATTGTTTGCTGTTTCCTCGGTGGGTGTGGTAAGTCAAAGTTATATCTAACAGCTCAATCAATATTCTTCAATATTCTTCCACATTATTGCAGATGTTGGCTATAGAGCAAAAAATGGCTAAGCCCGCCCAGTATTTGGGCTGGTGTGGTGTTTTATCCCGCGGCGGTATCTTTGTAACCGTCACATATATTCTTTTTGGGTCTTTTGGCTACTGGCGCTATGGTGATAAGGTGGAAGGTAGTATCACTTTAAATGTGCCAACCGAGGAACTGTAAGTGTTATATTTTTTGGATTTCGATAACATGCACATATTATTATATATATGTTTGCACATTTAAACCAGCCTTGCGAAGTTTATCAAGGTGTTTATATCAGTTGCTGTTTTTCTTACATATCCTTTGAGCGGCTATGTTCCCATCGACATTATCATGAATCATTATCTGAAAAAGAATCGCGAACTGAAGCATCCCCATATGATTGAGTACATAATACGCACTGCTTTCGTAATTGTATGCACATTGAATGCCATTGCTTTTCCCAATTTGGCTCCGCTCTTGGCTTTGGTTGGTGCATTTTCTATATCCATACTTAATATAATTGCCCCATGCTGCATTGAGCTATGCCTGTTCTATGACGATACGTATGGGAAGTTGAAATGGAAGCTTTGGAAGAATATAGTTATTATTTTATTTGGCACCCTTGTTTTAGTATACGGAAGCTATCGCGCAATGGTTGATATAATCAGAGAGTATGGTGGCAAGACAGCTTCTACAAAAGTAAGAGTCGAAACTCCAGAGGTAATATGATGTCTAGTACCATAGCTCCACTTGATCAAGGTTACTTTTAATCGCTCTTAATACTTAATAAAGTTACATTTAAACCTGTATGATACAGCATCTCTACATTAGGGAGCTTTGTTTTAATGGAGAACAGATTTGGGATCTTTTCAAAGTTCGTTTGACATCGTAAATTAATCGAGAGTTGAAAGGTCAACTACAAGACAGCTCCTAGTCGCAGGGTTTTCACAAACCCTGAAAACTGGCAGAATAAAATTGTAAGCAACACAAATTTTTTTTTAAAAGTGTGTAAAAACAAAATTTATATTTTCCAAAATTTACAATTTTGTAATGGGCGATGGGTAAGATACGTTTAGATAAAAACTAGTTATGGTAATACATCTAACTACTCTACACTTATCAACAGCGGCTACAATCCCTATGACAACCGCGATGTGGAGAAGCCACTATCGTAAGCCGTCCTTATTATTTCATTTGTAATATCATCGATTGCACTCAAACAGCTATCTTATAGGACTTGTGAGGCTTTCATGACCTTACTCAAGTGCGTTATTGGCACTGGCATTTTATCCATGCCCTTGGCCTTTAAGTATTGTGGCATTATTGGAGGCGTAGTGATGACAACTCTCTGTACTGCCCTAATCATTTATGGAATGCAACTACTGGTAAACCATATATGTCGAAATATGATGCAATTCATATAAATAAACCCCCTCGCAGATAAAGTGTATGATTGAATCCAGCCGTCGCAATCAGGTAGGCTATATGAATTTCCCAGAAACAATGGTGTTTTCCTTTAGTGTGGGCCCAAAGTGCTGTCAGTCTATATCCAAGGGAGTCGGCCCGTTGGTGGATATTATTTTGTGTATTGCGCACTATGGTTTCAACGTAGTGTATCACGTGTTCGTTTCCATACATTTCAAGGAACTTTCAGATATTTATATAACTACCTGCGATTTAAGAGTTGTTTGTGCTATAGTTGGGCTTTTATTCTTGCCCCTGTTTCTTGTGCGTCAGCTGAAGTATCTTGTGCCCTTCTCGATAATTGCAAATATATTGATCTACTTAAGCCTCTGCACCATTTGCTATTATATGTTCAGAGGCTTGCCCAACCTTAGTGATAATCGTATGCTGCCCTTAAGTGTTTTAGATATCCCCATATTCGTGGGAATCGTCATGTTTGCCACGTCGTCTGTCGGTGTGGTAAGTCAGCCAGTCTACAGGTTAACCAATTCCCTTCCATCTTAAACTCATACCCATTACCGCAGATGCTGGCTGTTGAGGCCAAAATGGCTAAGCCTGCCCTTTACTTGGGTTGGTTCGGTATTTTGAGCTTGTGTGCCGTCTTCGTTTGCCTCACGAATATGATTTTCGGATTTCTTGGCTACTGGCGTTATGGTGATAACATAGCCGCTAGTGTTACCATTAATCTGCCCGGGAAGGAAATGTAAGTATTCCAATTTAATTAATAAGTGCAACTACTAAATACGTCTATATAATTTTATAACAGCGTCGCGCAGCTTACTAAGTTGGGCATTGCACTTGCTGTCTATTTTACCTACCCTCTGAGTGGCTATGTTCCCATAGAGATCATCATGAACCATTATCTGAATAAAAATGGCAAACTGAAGCATCCCCGTATGGTTGAATACGCAATCCGCATTGCTTTCGTAATTGTAATTACATTGAATGCCATTGCTTTTCCGAATTTGGGTCCACTCGTGGCGTTGGTTGGTGCCTTTGCTATATCCCTACTAAATCTAATATTCCCATGCTGTATAGAAATGTGCCTTTTATATCACGATTCGTATGGAAGACTTAAGTGGATATTAATCAAGAACATTCTTATGATCATATTTGGGATGTTTGTCCTTTGTTATGGCAGCTATAGTGCTATTAGGGATATGGTTCAAGATTATAGTCGCAAATAAGAAGCGAAAACAATATCTACCTTGAATGAGACAGAAACAGCGTCTTCTAATAAGATCACCAAGAAGAATCAAAATAGTGCACATGCACTTTCTTTTGCAAAATATGCCCCTTTACTAGAAAATACTCTTTTATATCTACTGAATGCAGCTATTTCCCTCAAAGTGACAGAATTGGACATGTATGTACATATGTTTGGCACATTTTAAAGGTAAATATACATCTTTTTTTATCAAACAAACACTTTTCACAAAGCTCACCCGCGCCAGGTGGATATATTTATGTGCATTTATCATATCGGTGCTGTTCTTTGGCACAATTCTGTTTTCAATCGAGGCGTTTGGTGTGCTGTTGTTGTTTTTTATGCATCCGTGGACTTTTTGGGCTATTGGTGGCAGTTCGGGGATGAGACCTCTAGTTCTATAATCAACAATCTACCCACCGATGAAACGTACGTACTGCAAACAAAGCATAATTGTCCTATCGTTTCATCGTTTCAATTATTCAAAAGCGTTCACAATAGCCATATTTTATAGCTACGCGCTGCAGTTACCATTGAGATAATCTGGCGCTGCTATATGAAGCCTAGACTTATGGCGAATGCCACCAAATCGGTAGAGTATCTATTGCGCATGGTCATGGTAGTTGCCTTCGTTCTTTGTGCCATTGCATATCCAGATTTTGGTCTACTACTCTCCTTCGTGGGCTCCTTCTGTCTGGCTCAGCTGAGATTTATTTATCCATTTATTTATCCAAATATGACAATCAAATCTTATTTTTTCTAAGTGCTTTTCACATAACCACATAAAATGTGATTTTGTATATTCCAAAATTTATAAAACTTTTCCAAAAATGTTGGTTATTAAAAAATCATATTTAAATCCTGGAAAACGCCTTCATATTGTAATTTTAAGAACTTGGTTACTACTCAGATGAACTTCTCTATATATATATATATATAAGGGACCTAATAAAAGGAATATTTTGAAGAAGTAATTTTATCAGTTTGTTGTTGCAACATAGGCTCAATTTTTACCAAATTCGGAAATTTGTCATGACATGCATTTACACTATACAAATTTAATGTACTCACTTTTTTATTCATAAATTAAAAAGTTTTTAATATTTTAAGCAAGTTTTCTTATAAATTGTTTCATAATTCAGTTCAGTCCATTTTCAAGTGAGACTTGTACAATTGCCCGTCCCACTTTGTCGTTCTATGCTCTCTTCGACTCGCGTTTGTTTTGCCGTAGATAAACTCATGAAAATGACTTTATTTAGCAGCAACGGTTTTATGCCTTGCTAATGCTTGGCCTTCCGATATCGTACAAAGGCCAATTACATGAAATTTCACGTGATGAAAAGTACAGCTGAAAAGATCCTAGTCGTGCACTTCCGAGCACGACACCTTTGCTTTTCTTTATGTTTCCCATTAAATCTTTCAAAAACTCATTAGTTAATTTGAAAATTCAAAGCATTTCACAAACCTTGAAAATAGCAAAATAAAAAGTATGCTTGCGTATAGGAATGTCACTTTTCTTGTGTTTAAAATTGGTCATCTTTTACGTTAAAATAGAAACTGCTCAGCTTGATAATTGCCTATTTCATAAGATTTTTGTGTATATTTTTGATATAGCAAATAACTTAGTATCCCTTGGTTTTAATATCAACCTTAGCTTTTAATTCTGAAAACTTCGAAATGGCACAGAGGTATGTGATTTTCTTCTAGCATTTTTATCCATATTGCAATATCTCTATAGTTAATTGCTTTTTACCTACTTATTAACAGCAACTTTAATCCATATGAAAATCGAAATGTGGAATCACCATTATCGTAAGTCTATTCCATATAAACTCATTCTCGCTCATCAGGCTATCCCAAAGCAATTGCGATGCTTTAACCTCGCTGATGAAGTGCGTCGTTGGCACTGGGATTTTGGCCTTGCCCCTCGCCTTTCACTACGCTGGTTTTATTGCTGGCGCCGTTCTGACTGCCTGTTGCACCGCCCTACTTGTTTATGAAATGCAACTACTAGTAGGCAAAGTATATCTAATATAATATCTAATATATCATATAACATCTCCCTGACAGATTTCGTGTATGGTCGAGAGCAGTCGCCGCAATAGTGTTGGTTATATGACATTTCCCGAGACAGTAGAGTATTCCTTCAGTGTGGGGCCGAAGTGTTGTCGATGTATATCCAAAGTAGTCGGTTTTTTTATAGATGGTATTCTGGCATTTTCACACTATGGTGTTTGTGTAGTGTATATCGTGTTTGTGGCCTTAAATATCAAACAGCTTTTAGACTCAGTGTGGCCTAATGTAGGTGTATGGGTTTATTGTGCAGCGGTGGGGCTCTTATTAATACCATTGTTTCTCTTGCGTCAACTGAAGTATCTGGTACCTACAAATATGCTTGCGACTATTCTGCTCTATGTGGGATTCGCGTGCATCTTGTATTACTTTTGTATAGGCTTACCCTCCCTGGGTGAACGAGACCTGTTTAAATATGACCTGGCCTTATTTTTTGGCATTGTATTGTTTGCTGTTTCCTCGGTGGGTGTGGTAAGTCAAAGTTATATCTAACAGCTCAATCAATATTCTTCAATATTCTTCCACATTATTGCAGATGTTGGCTATAGAGCAAAAAATGGCTAAGCCCGCCCAGTATTTGGGCTGGTGTGGTGTTTTATCCCGCGGCGGTATCTTTGTAACCGTCACATATATTCTTTTTGGGTCTTTTGGCTACTGGCGCTATGGTGATAAGGTGGAAGGTAGTATCACTTTAAATGTGCCAACCGAGGAACTGTAAGTGTTATATTTTTTGGATTTCGATAACATGCACATATTATTATATATATGTTTGCACATTTAAACCAGCCTTGCGAAGTTTATCAAGGTGTTTATATCAGTTGCTGTTTTTCTTACATATCCTTTGAGCGGCTATGTTCCCATCGACATTATCATGAATCATTATCTGAAAAAGAATCGCGAACTGAAGCATCCCCATATGATTGAGTACATAATACGCACTGCTTTCGTAATTGTATGCACATTGAATGCCATTGCTTTTCCCAATTTGGCTCCGCTCTTGGCTTTGGTTGGTGCATTTTCTATATCCATACTTAATATAATTGCCCCATGCTGCATTGAGCTATGCCTGTTCTATGACGATACGTATGGGAAGTTGAAATGGAAGCTTTGGAAGAATATAGTTATTATTTTATTTGGCACCCTTGTTTTAGTATACGGAAGCTATCGCGCAATGGTTGATATAATCAGAGAGTATGGTGGCAAGACAGCTTCTACAAAAGTAAGAGTCGAAACTCCAGAGGTAATAATCGCTCTTAATACTTAATAAAGTTACATTTAAACCTGTATGATACAGCATCTCTACATTAGGGAGCTTTGTTTTAATGGAGAACAGATTTGGGATCTTTTCAAAGTTCGTTTGACATCGTAAATTAATCGAGAGTTGAAAGGTCAACTACAAGACAGCTCCTAGTCGCAGGAGTTTCACGAACAACTCCACCTACTGCCCAGGGTTCTATGGTCTCCTAGCCAGCCATTATCGATAGCTATGTCGACATTGGCATTGGCGGTGATTCCCTCATTAGGTGGCACTCTGGGTAACCTGGCGGACTCTGGCATGTGGCATGTGGCATGTAGCTGGCAACCTGCTTGAAACTGCGGCCCCACTCAGCAGCGTCAGCGGCAGCGGCACAAGCACAGCCTGTTTGTCTGGCAGTCGTCTTCAGGCCCACTTAACGATGCTCCGGAATTTATGCCGATATGGTAATGCATCTGCGCTGGGGCCGCTGGTGCTGCTGGTGCTGCTGGGGCGGCCCGCCGCTTGCCTCATTATGCCATTGATGGACTGCAGTTGAGCGTTTGGATTGCGTAATTTATTGTTTGGGCCTTCGCTTGATAAACTGGTGTTGGATTCCAACATAACCTAAATGGTCAAAACGGGCGACAGGCGACATCTGTTTGTAGTTGCTGCTGCTGCTGCTATTGCTATTGTTGTTGTCGTTTTTGTTGTTACTTCTGTTGTTGGCCGGCCAAACATTTTTTGCCAACGCCTGCATATCACTTTCCGTCAAATCCGCGGGGCTTTAAACAAGTTCAACGGGGCTCACATTGGGGGATTGAGCTGTATGTTGCATTTATGGCTCTAATTAGCTACGCAGGCCGCATGCAAAGCAATTCCAATGCAGACAGTCAACCAACTATTCAGTCAGCTAGTCAACCAGTTGGCTAGTGAGCAACTGTTGCTGATCTGTGGCTAATGATTTCCACTGAAATCTGCCACACGTGCAACTCCACCCATGTGGCCAGTTCAAAAGGTTAAACAGCGCAACTGGCAAAAGTTCTGCGTATGCGACGATTGTAGCCAAGTGCAACAAATCATTTCGGGAACCCCAGCCAGCCGATCTTCAGTGCAAAGCCAACCAATTTGTGTTCCGTTGCTTTGCCGTTTGTATAAATCAATTGGCCAGTAGAGTCCGGGCAGGCACATCCCATCCAGCAGTTCCAGTCCCACTCTTGAGTCTCAGTTACCGTCACAGTCGCTCCTCGATTTGACAACCCGCTGTGCGGTGTCTATTGGCATGGCCATCCTATAAATTGCCTGCCTCTCTGATCTCCACTGATGCATTATGTGTTTGGACTATGATTTTTCACTTGTTTTAGTGCGTGCGATCTGCGTCTGATTGGCCTATAAATTATAAAGTTTATTGCGCCCAAAGTCAGAGTACGAGTATTGACCACGGCCCGCCGACCGCCCCCGACACTGATGGATTACGAACATCGTGTCTGCCGTTATCTATCGCTTGACTTAATACAAATATTGGTTTATCAAAAAATATATATACATATACCATATTTTTTAACATAAAATTTGTGCGTTATTGGTTACATATTTGCCAGGCGACTTTACTTTCGATTTCTGTACAAATGTTTGCGCAATTTAACGGTCAGCGGCAGTCGTTTGTTGACTATAGGATAAGGACAAGTCATGTCGAGTCAGTTGATTTTGCTGCGCCCCCAAGGCCTTGACCTGTGCGCTGAGGCATCACAATGCGGCAGAATGTCAAAAATGTATACCGACAACAAGTTAAGCTGGGATCGTCAGGCCAGTTGTAGGAGCCGAGACACAAAGATGCCGACGACGCCACCGTCGCCCATTGCACTCACTGCACCAAATTTGCAGCCCAGCAACATGGTTGCAAGGTATGTCAGCAACATGTTGTCTAGCAACAACTGACAATTGCTGACTGACTGACTGACTGGCTGACTGACTGAATGACTGCATGGACAGGCAATGCCTGTTAGCGGTACCTTTAATTGCCTGGCTGCCCAAAATCCATAGACAAAATGTCAGCATAAGTAGCAGCAGCAGCAACAGCAGCAATTGCAAACTGGCAACTGACAACTTTGTTGCAGCAACAGCAACAACTAGCAACTGCTGCGTCAGCATTAATATTAATTAAATAAACGTTAATTCAGCGCATTAATGCGTAATAAATAATGCCACTTTGAGGCAAAAATTAATGCATAAACGCTACTTATCGCTGCCGACGCCACCGCCACGCACTTATCTGTGTCAACACAGCGCCAGAGGCAGCAACAGTGGCAACCAGCAGCCAAGTGCTGCTGCTGTTGCTGCTGTTGCTGCTGCTGTTGCAGCTGACAAACGCATTGTCAATAGGCCAGGCCAATAGCAATATAGATCCGTTTGGCAGCAGTCGAGAGTCGGGAGTCCGCAGTGGATGGCGCGTTGCAATTACATGTCTGTGACAAGAATTTTAAATGAAAATCGCCAGTTGCCGCACTGTGCACAGTGGACAAATGATTCAAACTTTCGCATTACGTGTAGAAAATGTTTAAAACTGTTCAGCCAGTAGAGGCGCCACGCCAGGAGGCACCAATCGCAGCGCTTTGCATGCCCGCCAGAAGGAGCCTTCTATGGCGGCAAAAACGGCGACGCATGAAATTAGAAAGGCATTATTGCAAATCTCTCGCATTTGAGGTATATTTATCAGCAATTTGTCAGAAAGTGTTTGGCCAGATGCAGCGGCTCAGATTAAAGTGCCCATGTCTCCGTCTACTTTCTAATGCAATTCATTGACACAACGCATTAAAAGAGTTACATTTCGTATCCTAAGGCGGGACATACTCTACACCTTTTGCGATTAGAACAAGGTATAACTTATTTAATAAGTAGGCTTTACCATAAGGGCGACATCAGATAATTCTAAAGTTAATCTAGACATTCAAAATATTGAAATGTTAGAAAATTGATTTTCACGTTCTTTACCAGGGACAGATCTTTATCGCAATGGGTTCAAAAAAGGGGATGTATGGAAGAAAACTGTGATTCAATATATAAAGCTAATCTAAGCGTGTCCGTCCGTCTGTTTCTATAAACTTGTCGATTTAAAACACTAATAAACGATAACCTCACTCGTTTTCCCGAAATCGATATTCATCGATATTCACCCCTAGTTATTCTTATCATACCTCAGAGAATCCATAATCTTAGGACACCAAATTTGGTATTTAGATTCTCTAACAAATCTAGTATACTACACTCCTGTCATAAACCAACAACTGCAATTCATGTTAAAATCCATAAAATCGGATTAATTTAGAATACATTTAATTATTTTAAAAAGTGGAGCAGAGTGACGAAGAAGCACTTTCAATTATTAAAAAAAAATTACGAACACAACCCTAAAATATATTTGCGAATTTACGCTCGATTTCATATAACTCTAGCTCTAATGGCCTTTGTCTAAGACATCATTGGCAAGTTTTGTGTTCTTCAAACATGTTCCCTAAACTCATTTTACAAGCCAAATGTGGTAATAGCTTTAGGCTTACTTAACCTCCATTCAATATGCTCTCAAGTATTTTGAAATCAGCTTTAAGCGCAATTTAATGCTGTAAATCGCTGTTCTCGGTGGCTGTACCCACGCCTAAGCAGCAGTTGGCCAAGTGATTTATAGTCAAACATTTGGCCATGTTGCTGCCAGCCCGTGAGTGCATTAGAATAGCCTGCTGGACTGGCCGTGCCAGGAGCAACATAATTCAGCAGCGCACCTTTAGAGCAGTTAACAAATAACATCAACTTATTAAATAAAGTTTCAATTCATGGCAACAACAAAACTGGAAGATGGCAACGCATCCGAGCGAACAGCGGCTACCGTACTGTGAATCTGGACATTAGACATCGGTGGGCAGTGGATGGAGGTCGCTGCAGGCGCAGCCACAATAAATCATCACATCGAAGGCATGGGCGCAGATTGGTAGATGAGGGGCAGCAGTAAGGGTAAGGGGTGTCGGGTCTGGCTGTTGGACTGCCTCGGCTGGCAGTAACTGCGGCCAAGTTATGTGGCTTCATTGTGGACAGAATGAACGCTTTTAAGCAGACAATTGCAGCCTGCGGCGCAGCAGCAGCAGCAGCGAGAATAGGAACAGCAGCAACGCCAACACGGCAGCAGGTAGGCAAAAACAGGAGACTATGGCAAAAGATTGGTTAGCCACTCTAGCAGCTCCCACTGCCCCATTGCCATTGTTCAGCAGATCTTTGTAGCTCTTGTAGTTGCTCCTTGCTGTTGCTGCTGCTGCTGCTGTTGTTGGTGCAGTTGCTGCTACACATTTTCGTAGGCAGCGCTGTGCACATAAATCATTGACTTGACTCCGACTGCAACTTCGAATTGCCTGCTTGGCTGCAATATGAGTTAATTTTTGCCAGTTCAGTGCGGGGCCGAAAGCGTATTTGCGTATTTGTCAACTGCAAATTACAACTTTTTCCCACACGTTTGCCTGCCAGCCTGCCGCCTGCCTGCCAGCCTGCCAGCCTACCTATCGCTACGTTGACATACAGCACATGTGGGTGTATGCTGCGATTTATGGCACGCCAGGCATTATAAATTTTCTATTAACTCGCTAGACGTCAGCCGGGCAACTGGGCGACTATGAGATTTGCATTGAATGCCAGGCCAGAGCGAGGTTCCACTGTCTGCTTTTGATAGCGCATTATCTGTTTAAGGCTTTAATTTTGTTTGCCAAAAATGTACGCAAAATAAGTGCGAGAGACACAACGCCTTCTACGGTCTGAGGACGCGACGTCTTTTGACTCGAACTAACTGCATTTGCATCCAATTGACTTGAAAGGCGTTTCGAAGCAAATATCCGTGAGTGTCCCTGATGTTGCTGCTGTTGCTGTTGTTGCTGTTGTTGCTGCTGCTGTTGTGGCTGGTGCCGCATCTCATTGAACCCGACAAATTGGTCATAATTTTTAGCAACTAAGTAATCCCAATAAACATGGCCCAAACATTGTGCACCTGACATTAAGCTGCCAAGCGTATAACTATACAACTACAGTAGAGAAAGACTTGGTCTTGGACTTACAGTGAGCAGCAGGAGCAGCAGCAGCAGCCAATAAAATGCATTTATCTGTGCATCGATCAGCTAGAAACCTGTGTACCCAGGCTGCACAACTGTAGCGCATCGAATCGATTTGGCCAGCAGTCAAACATCAATTGCAAATTAACAGTAGTTAAAATCCAAATGAATTTGCGACTGCTGCCAATTTATGCAGCTGGCAGCTTATGCCGTTTAATCAGCCAGTTCAAAGGTTGTGCATACACCTATTATGTGATTTATGCAACAGCGCTGAAATATTATCAAAGATGCAGTCAAACCAAACAGATGATGATGGCTAAACGGGCGCCAAAAGGCGCGCATATCCATAAGATACACACACACAAGCACGCGCACAGCTGTGTGTGTAGCTCTTGATGCGTTTGTTCAATCAGTAAGGCAACGGAGTCTGATTGGTTTTCAAAATTCACACGCTGAGTGCTGGTTATCGAACAACAACAGCAACAACAGCAACAACAACAGCAGAAGCAATGGCTCGTGTGTGTATCCGTCAGATACAATTTTGGACTGTGCACGAACTTTAAACTCTCACACCGACCGCTGATCGCCTTGCACGTTGGTAAATAATAATATTTCAATTGTACACACACACACACACACACACAGAAAACCATGCATATTGCGTCACATGCAAAACGCTTATCGCTTAAATATTCGATGGATACAGCGCTTGTATACTACCGCTTGTCTTCCTGTGTATGAGTGTGTGGGTATGTGTGTGTGTTGTTATCTGTGGGTGTAATTTTCTCACGGTTCAGTTTTCAGTTACTCGGACCTAAATTGCGTTTGCACATTTCCCTTTCTTATATTTCTTTTTTATTGCCCGCTCGCCTTTTCGCCAACACTTTTGTGGGTGATTACGAGAGAAATAAAAAAAAAACACACACACTCCACAGCACCTGAATAAATATCTTATCAGCGTTTCGTTTCGTTTTTCAGCACTTTATATCACATATTAATTTGATTTCTCAGCTCTTAGTTCTACACTCGCCCCTCTGAGCGCCATAAAGAAGCGTGGGAATGCGCTAAAAATTGTTGCAATTTCGAGCAATTGTTGTTGCTGCTTCCTAAGCAGTTGTTGTTATTGTTGTTGTTGCCGCTGCGGTTTGGCAGTTGACTTTTTATCACTCGCTATCAAGTGCTCGGATTGTTTGCGCTTACTGCAAATAAACATGTGTGGCAAATCTCTTGCCACTAGCCTCTGGGAAATGTCAACAAAGTGGAGGTGATAACTATTCATTATTTTCAAGGTCAAATTGATTTGAGGGCGTTGTTTGTGTTTAATGAAGATTAAGATAAACTGCTTCATTTTGGGTCTTACGAACAGAACTTTAACTGTATTGAAACTAACAATATATTAAACTGTCCAGTTGTCACAGTCGACAACTTTTGCAAAAGAAAGTGTGATAAAATATGCAAATTTTTATAAACCATTTCGCCGTTAAAAACATCCTCTAAACATTTTTGGATGTTTACTTTCACTATTCGTACTTTAAGAATTTTTTAAAAATTAGTTGTTATGACAAAGGAGCACTCTCTGCATGAAGAATTCTTCAAGCAGACATTTTGTAAAATCTTAATCTTATCTTGTATCTATATATACATCATACATATATGTATATCAGCAATTCTTTATTGTTTCCAAACTGAAGCTATATTTCCAACCGATTGTTTCTATCGGTAAAATATATTATAGTAGACCGCTTGCGACGGGCTTACAAGTATTTTAAGAATATTATGAAATTCATAGCTGTTGACTCTGGTCAAAATATTGAACATGCAATAATAAATAATAATAAAATAAAACGATACAATAATTTATTAGCCAATTCTTTCTATCGAGTTTTATGATTAATACGTCCGTTGATAATCAGTTTCTTTGATATGTAATAAGCCTGGAGTCAGCCAAGTTCGGTTAAGATATATTGAAAAACAAAAAACTTTTTCATACACAATTAATTGTTCGACCCATATCGTAAAGCATTAAAGGAAGTCTTTTTTATACAGTTGATAGGATTTTCCTTTTGCAAAAGGAGCATAACAAAACTAAGAAACGCAAAAAATAGTTAAAGCTTGAAATACAAAAATGTCTATATAGCAAAGACTCGACTGTTGATATAGATCAGAAATATATATATATGTGTAGCCTTCATAGGTAGACACATTCTGATATGCATGACAAATGTGTTTTTAAAAGCATGCCATGATTTTGGCAATTAAAGTTCGTAGCATACTTTTGAGCGGGCAATGATAGCATAGCATACTCTTAGTCAGTTGATCGTTGGTTTCGTTAGTAGTTATCAGGGTTGGTTCACCCAAATCGAGCATTTACAGACACATTCCAATTGGATAACAATTGCAATCAGTAGCAATACCCTCGAAAATGATTTGCTTCGGTTTGTTGTTGCTAAGCTATAACAGAACTTACCCATTCATTTTTTGACCATTTAAAACAATATTGATTACTAATATAAACAAAATTATATAATAAAGGCAAAGTTTGGAAAAGTTCTTAAATAATTTCTTTTAATTTATTTCTTAAATTTTTTTGTGCTCTCTAGCTCATAAAGGTTCAAAAAAATATATGTTATATAAATTTGTCATAGAATTTATGAACTCATTCAATAAAATTCGGGTATTTTTTGAAATTCAATTTTATTTGCAAATTATGCAATTGATGTCATTTTGTATAGGTATGTATATATTTGTAATATGTCATGAATAATTGAATAGGGCATAAAAATAGAGAAAATCAATGATATTTTAATAAACGAAAAATATAACAAAACGAACATTTTTTATATATGCGTGTGTTGGTGTGTGTAACTTGCTTAACTGTCTGTCTGTTTTTGTGTGTAACTAATTTAGTTCAGCTAGGAACTAATTACAACTACTATAACTACGATATATTTTGTTGTCAAAAGATCACTACGTTTACGAAATCACTTCTGGAAGAATTCTCTAACGTCAATGCCACAATTATTTATCATAATGCGGCATTGACTAAATCAAATACTTTGTTTGGATGATGGTAGATTTAAAGGGTAAGGGTTAGGTAGAAGGTAACTACAACAAAGCTGCCCGTTCTTGGCCTGAATGAAGTTAATGATATTATAACATAATTAATTTTTATGGTTTTAGTTTGAAATTTAGATGGGATTGAGTATGTGATAAGCTGGTGGATTGGGAACGTTGGAGAAAGTGTAGCAGAGGGAGAATCTTATAAAACTTTGGTTAGCCCTAAAATTAGTTAAAAACTTAACTTAGATATCCCTGTGCTTAGAAGAGTTTTATTAAAACTAATTTAAATTAAATTAGCGTAAACTTTTGGGCGGCTGCTCACTGTGCATCGCCCACATGGCCCCCGTTAAACTCAGCCTGAAACTCGCGTATGCTCACATATGTGCCCGTTACGAAGCCCACAATGCCAAACAATATCAGACCCGAGTTCTTCCACAGCCGCCACTTGAAGCGACCATAGCCAGGATCCTCATTGTACACAGCCAATTCAATAATCGCCGGCACCATCATGCCCAGCGTGCTCAGGCAGACGGCGCCAATGAGCGAGATAAATGGACCCAAATTGGGCAGCGCCACAGCAATGCCACAGCAAAGAATCTGTCGAATTCAAATTGATCAGGAGTTAATTTTTGGTAAAGTACTAACAGCAGCCAGACTTACCACCAGGCCCACACGCAATCCGTACTCGCTGATGTTCTGGCGCGCAGCAGGAATCTTGTTTTCAATTCCCTTCCACAGGATGCTGACTGGAACATAAAACTGCAGCGTAAAAGTAAAGAATATAGCAATGGCAATCATTAGCTTGACGGATTGTGCCAATCTGTGAGAAGAAGATAAAGGAAATGAGCGCTGCTATGCGAGAGACCCTTAAGTCGTTGCAGATACTCACTTGTCTTCCAGGGGCAGATTTAGCGTTATGCTTGCCTCGGTATCGGGACCATACTTGAGATAGCCAAAGAAACCGACCAGTGTGTAAAGACCAATGACCAGGCCCATGCCCAGATTGAGCACCGAGGGGCAGCCAATGAAGTGTTTGGGGTTCTTCATGTCGTTCTCCAGGGACATAACTACACCGATGCCTTCCAGGGCGAAGATGACCGTGCCAAAGAACAGTGGCCACTGCACTGGCGAAACCACGCCCGCGCGCTCAGCTGGCGCTGGCAAGTCCGTAAACATATAGACGAACGTTATGACAATGCCCACAAACATCAGAATATTGGCAATCATCGAGAAGGGCGTCAAAAACTTCAGATTGCGCACCAGACACATGAACACCAAAGGCGCAGACACAATAACAATCCACAAACGCACGCTGAGCACAGTATCCATGTAAACGCCGACCACCTGTTGCACATTGGTAGCCACAAACACCAGATAGATGCAGCAGCAACCAAGCAGATCGATCACTAGAAACGTGTTCACCATGAAGCGTATGAAGCGGGACCAGCGATTCAGCGAGGGTGGACCATCCAGAAAGGCTTGCTCGGCGACATCGGCGAACCCCATCATTGGTATCTTGCGACGCCGGCAGAGTATATGCGAGCACTTGACCAGCACGTGAACGCAGTAGGTGCACAAGGTGCCCACGAATAAGGTGGCCACTAGACCAAACCACAGACCCGCATTGGCAAAGGCCATGGGCATGGCCAGAATGCCTGAGCCCAGTGAGCCTTTCAGCAGATGCACGAAGGTTTCCAAATCACTGCGAAACGAAATTTTTCAAACATTAATTGACATAAACGCAGATAATTCAAATATCAAATAATATCTATAATATGCAAATCGGGTCCGGCTGCCAAAAATAAATATACGCAAACTTAAGTTGCATCCAAATATTTACAAAAAATATAAGAGAGAGAATATATAATAGAGAGAAGCTTGCATATATTTTTAGATACACAGACGCACACACACCGCATAATTCCAACTAACCACAACACATAATAAATAATACGAAATGAATTATTTTGTTTAGTAATTCATTCGTGAATCAATTCTAAAACGTGAACCAATCCCATTAAATCTAAACTAAAAACAAACAAAAAAAGAATCGAACGTAGTTTACCAAACCCAACTTTTGTTTGCCAGTGCACAACATGGCGCCGTGTCTGCCCCCGCCCTCTCTTTGCGATTCTCACACAGATCATCAGACAACGTTACACATTTTGCACTGTAAACTAATCGTGCAGTATTATCTCGACATTTGTGTTTTTTTTTTCGTGCTCATTTTCGCCTTTTTTTCTTATTCGTTTCTATTTGCGAATCTACTTTATTTTTAGTGTGAAAGCTTTTCAGCAAAAGTCCAAGGACAATGTCAATAAAATTGCAAATGTATTTCCGTTTTTTTTTCTTTTTTTCATTTTCGTTAAAATTACAACAAAGGCGAGCAGAGAAATCAAAGTCTAGGCAAAGTTCAATGACGTTAATTAATTAGTTAGTCATTGATTTATCTCAAACAGCCTGCAGTTGGGGTAACTATCAGCTGTTTATATAAGATAACTCGAGAACACACAATGCCAATGTTATCACAGGCACTCAATGCGTTATCCAACCCTATACTTTTGCTTAAGAATATAAAGAAAATATAGTTTGGTAGTTAAGGATGTCGTATCCTTGCATGTTGCAAGTCCTAACCCGAATATCATATACATATATCCATCAGCCTTTTTCACTTTCGTTACACTTAATTGATCGTTAATACTTACGATGTTGGGTGCTCAACTTTGCGGTGCTCGAAGGGATTATAGTGGCCGTCCTCTCCGTCATCGCCGCCTTTTTTGCGAGTCAACACCAATGGTAGGGTGGAGCCAGCCGCCTGCTGGACTGGCACATCGGCCATGTCGGAGCGAATGAATCTATCCGAGGATGAATACATTTCAAACATTGTAGTTGACGAATTGTTATCGATATTTTTGTACATTTTGCGCAACGCATGCACAAATTATCTTATGGTTAAAGTGTTTGATTCGTATGCGCGCTATAGCTACGTCGGCTACGGCATCGAAAACTAAAATGAAAGGCACTCACTTGGGCTGGCTTATGCTCGCATTGTTCCTGCTGCCATTTTTCTTCTCGCTGTCGTAGACCGTCACAACCGTCGGAATTTTCTGCAAAAGAAATCGTTGAGTGTTAGTTAGGCAATTGACTGAGTAGTCGATAAGGTGCATTTGCAAGCAGAATGCTGAGCGCAGAAGAGCACGCGCACTTATGTAAAGCAGCCAGCTGGCTGCTCGAGAGCTGCAGCTATGCCAAAAATTATTTACGTAGTTCTGAGCAAGATCAGTTCAGTTTATGGCCAGCGTGGGACGCTGAGCGAGCTTCAATGGTTACTTGTTGCTGGATTTGCAGTCACATGACCTTGACAAACACTATGCGCAATGTCAAATTTGAATGTGCATCAGCAGACACGAGTGGATCGAGCAATTTGAGTAATTCTTGTCTTTTTGCGCTGGTAAACAGAACGCCCGACAATGCAGCGTATAGAGACATTTTTTGGCAACACGCGCCGTATGCGCATTATTCAAGTTCAATAGTCAAACTATTATGCGGAAGAAGAACGTTGCGTTCACACACACACACACAGCATGCCTATGGATTCAGTCGCACCTGCTGATCCAAGCTGGCGCCACTCAACGATGTAGTCATTAATGCAGCACCGCTCGATGGTGCCGGCGGTGGACCGCCCCGTTTTAGCGACATCTTCAATCTGTGGCGACTGAGCGCTGCGCTGGATAAACGCGTTTCGCGCGATCTGGGGCCAAAGCTGCTCAGCTCGTGCTCTTGCTGCTCTGGCTTCGGCTGACGCGGAGGCAATGGCGGCTTTCCGGCGGTGGCGTTCAGCTTGAAGGCGTTACGCTTTTCGTTGTCAAGATTAAGATAAAGTTCAAGAACAATTTTTTAAACGACATGCGCGACGTTTGCACGTGCAATTCCAGTGGGACACAATACAAATCTGTTCGCGTCCACGGCCAATGTCGTCCGCTTATATGCACTTTTGTGGCCAAAATGAAAAGCGACAACTACAGCAGCCACAGCCGACACACTCAGAGAGTGGTCTGCGATCTTTTGCAAATAGCTTCAAAAATAAATAGTAGACACACGGGACACGGACGCACACAATAGCAGAACAAGCTGCAACAGAAAGGGGCGCCTTTTCAGAACTGAGCAGCTATTTAGTGACGGGTTTGTTCAGAACGAGATTTTTCGGCATCTATAGTTCTAACTATATAGATACATTGTTTGGGGTGCAGCAGCATTCAAAATGCTCGTAAATGCCGTCATCAACTGCTTGGACTACTGCTATTGTTTCCTATATATTCACACGTGCGCCGAGAGAGAGAGAGGTGCGCGCGGCTATTAAAAAAAAAAGCACCATCTCAACGAGTGCTCCCACATATAAATTGATCAAAATCAGTGCGACGCCGTAAGCGACATGATACGACTATGCCATTTGCGACGTAAATAAAATTAATGAGGAAACTGTAAATTTGCGCAAAAAATGTGCGAAAAATATTTACGGTTGCAACAACAACAGCGACATAGACCTTAATTTCTGCTTTAGTTTAGAAATTTCTATTTGTTTTATAATTTGTTTTCAAGGCGTAAATATATTATTTAATTTTTTGGACAGCGATTTGAATTTATTAGAAAATTACACCATAAATTAACAATTTACCCAATTTGTTTGGGTAAGCAAAACAAGCGCAAAAAAACTGTTGTTGAAAAAAGTTTGTTTTCCTGTTATTTATGAGATAAAGCACGAATTTCAAACAGCAAGAGACAACAATGCGTATACTTATTGCGGGCTCACAGCTCCATCTATGAACAAAAACTGCAAGCTCAGACTTAACAGCGGCGAATGCCACACAGCGGCGCCGCGAATTAGGCAACGAATTTCTCAACCGGTGACAAACAATGCATAAATTATAAAGAATTACTAACAGTATTTTTTCATGGAAATTTGGTTTTTCTCGGTTATTCACAAAACAAATAAAATATTCACCTAAGCGACGTGATACAACAATACGTATGATTATTGCAGGCATGTTTTGCTAGCGCCATCTATGAAATGTACACATAGCTGCTTCAAATGCAACACAGTTAACAGCAGCGAGTGCCACACAATTGCGCGGCGAATTTGGCAACGATTCAATTCAATGACTAAGTGAAAAGCGATGTGGAGAAATCAAACGGATTTATTGTAAACAATATAAAGTTTGTTATTGAGAAAACAGTTTTTTCAGATCTTGTAAGATATTTAGGCAAATTTTAAACAAACAGCAAGATATAACAACATTGTCTTATTGTGTGCTTGTGATGCTAGCGCCATCTATGAAAATGTAAAGCAAACTGCTACAAGCGCGCAAACCTTAACAGCGGCGAATTGGGCAACGAATTTTTAAACACCTCTTAAATATTTTTGTTTTTATTTTCTTTTTGTTTAAGCGACAGAAAATAGTAAATTAAGCAACTAAAGCTCAGACAATTTGCATCCCGCTTGAATATTAATATTTATATATTTTTTCCACTGTTTTATGTCGAATATATATTTAAAAAAAACCACAGGTCATTTTACTTATTTCCAAGCTAATGAATCCCTTAATAGAACTTTCGCAATTTGATGATTTGGATGTAGTACCTAGCTCATTTTTTATGAAATTCATAATTAAATTGTTACTGTTACACAGAGAAGAGAATAGTTCATATTCTTAGAATTTAAGACTGTAATCGTTGTATTCACGGCCAATTGGCGTGATAGAACAGCTTTGGCATATGCCAAAAGGCAACTTTACAGTTTTACGCTTCAGTTGACGTTAGTTATGGACCACAGACAATTAAATGCCAAACGCGCAAATGCATAAACAAACAATACCAAAATACAAACACAAACAAATATAAGCGCTGAGAAAGTCCGAAACTCAGAAACAAAAGAATCACAGAGTTTCTCAGTCGCATCATTTCAGAAACCTAATATACCTTATGGAGTGTTTAAGTACAGAGTATTATAATTGCATATAATCATCGCTTCATATCGCAATTTCGTACTAAAAATACTTTACGCAATAATAAGACAGCTGGACTAACAGAATTTCAGCTGCATTGTGGCGCCAGTTCATCTCAATCAGTCAGTCAGTCAGTCATTCAGTCAATCAGTCAATCAGTCAACCGTTTAGTCGCGTGCAACATTACGAGTCAGAAACTATGTACAGTGTACAGCAATAATAACAACAACAAAAATATATACATATTTGTATTGCGCTTGCACTTATTTTCCGCTTTTAGTGTGTAGGGTGTGTTTTGGGGGAGCTCTAGAATTTGTACCCGCATTCAAATGGCGTCAACAGCTACCCAAACAGCGCAAGTCGAATGAAAAGAGTGCAAAAAGTACAACTCGAAACATGTGCTCTAACGACTAACAACTGATATGGAGCTTGAAAGCGTACTGCAAACAAATTGCAAGCGCTGAGAGCGGAGCGATCAACACGTGTCGTTGGTGCGGTTCAAGTTCAATATGGTCAGAATTGCCATTAGCATTGCAAACTATGGCAAATTAGGAAATGAAGAGGCCTTGATATGGCGTAGTGCTATATCCAGATGAAAATGGAGCATAGCATGGCAACGGCAAGTCGGCAGTGTCCGACTTCGAGTTGACTTGAAACATAAGAACTTCCTTCTACTTTATGCATCAGTTGCGCTTTTTCGTCCCTTCTCTTTTTCTTCAATAACTTCGATGTGTATTGATCGATGGAAATAAATTGATTTTCCGCAAGAAAAATGTCTCTCATACATATCATAAATCTCATAAGTATTCAATATTTCAAAGCTCTTGTATCTTTAAAGAGATGATGTCTCGTTGGATCAGGATATTTATACTTTATAAAGCCAGAGCTTACTTCTGCTGCCTTTGACATACATAAGCAGAAAATCATGATACCCGGTCTTACATTCATCAGTGGAGAAACTTAATAAAGAAACTTCACAATTATTTACAAAGGGATTTACTTGTTACCCATGGAGATAGCTGTGCTATAATAGATATGTAGACACATACATTGTATGTCATAATAGCTATATATATAGTTGTACCCATGCAATCAGAAAGATGGGTAGTATGACTCTGTCAAGTATACATTATATAAGACTCATTCTAAAACAAATATTCATGCCGTTTCCGGCCCTAATATACAGTCGCACCTTTGGGAAAACGTGTTTAAATCTTTATTGCTAACTATTAAAAAACTTTCTGGTTGTCAAATTTATTAATTTGACAAATTATACATAAAAATGCTGACTAATGCATTTATAGTTATATACATTTTCGATGATCATGAGTATCTACGTTCATATAGTATAAACGACTGATAATGTTGGTAATTCATGAAACCTAATCAATATTGGATACAAATATGCTTTTGGCTTGTATCAGGTAGCTCACAACGTTTGCATTTCGATAACGATAACAAATGCTTGAAGACCAAGATAAGCAGCCGCGTGGACAAAATTTTTTTGCAACACAAAAATCTCGTTTTAATCTAGAAACGTGATGTTACAAAATTGCGCGCCAATACATAAGCAATAATTTTTCTATAAAGTGGACTCCCGCTTTTTCTGGAATGACGAAATAGCCCGTACTCAACCCTTGCACAGAAATTCGTACATTCGCAGGCGTACAACGCAGGCAGTTACATGCCTTCATGTGCATTTCTAATTATAACAGTCATGCCAGCTCCATAGTACTAGAGTTCTATAGCTCTACGGGCTCTCCATAGTTTTTTTTACTGCATGCCATTGAACTTACATAAGCGAGTGGAACAGAAACAGAAGCAGCAGGGAAATGAAATCGAAAACGGCAATAGCAGCACAAAGCAACAACAACAACAACAGCAACAACAAAAAGGCAAACAAAGCCAACAATTTGTAGTGGAAAATTTTTACAAAACTGGCTAAAATGCAAGCAACGAAATATGCATCACGTGGCCCCCACCACACCGCTGAGCGGGGAAAAGTCGCTGAGCTCAACAAAGGCAGCTTATTTCTAGCGAAAAACTGTCAGCAATCAGTCAATGCAAACACGGCGATTTATGGTATAGCCTGTTCCCCCAAAAATGTCATACGGGGCGTATGGCATCTGAAAAGCGCATTAAGGCGCCAACTATTGCTAGATAAGATAGCAAATGGGCCACACTAAAAGCATGTGCCATGCGAATGCATATACGTGTGGCATAAGATTTCAATATGCCAGCCAGAACGGGCACCAATCAGAGACAGCATTGCCAATTGAAACAGTTTCAATGTGCATGAATCGAACGCAAATCCCAGAAATTGGAGAACCAATCGAATGCTCGGCTTACCTGATGCCAGAACAAATTGTGTTGCAGTCAGGTTTCAGGTGCAGCGGCACTGATGCAATGATGCCTCATGCCTGCCATTGGGAGAGAATCACGAGAATCGAGAGAGTGCGGCGGTACGCAACGCCAATAATTGCATTTCAAGTGCTGGCAAGAGTTTGGTCACACTTCCAGAGTGCGACATGAATGCTTATGGCATGGAAAATTACCAAATGCGATCGAATTTTGCGTTGTGCCACTTAAAGAAAAGCAACGCAGCAAATTCATCGATGGCGCTTGCGCAGCAGTAGCACGGCTGAACGACTTTAAAGAGCGACTCTGCGACAGAGGGACAGACGTACGTTCCGACGGAAAGTCAGACAGACGGAGTCTTCAAGTCAAAGTACAACATTCCATAATTTTTGTGCATATTGCCACGAAATTGTAAACGCTCTGCTCAAAAAAATGTAAACCCTGAAAAATGCTGACGCAGTAGGTAGACGAAAGCCGACGTCGGCAACTATGGTCTGTTGTATGCCCTACTTCGTCCCCTATCAAGTGCCCGCACCGAATTCGAATCCCAGCCAGGCAAACATAAAAGTGCAAGGCGCTCTCGCACAGGCTGCGAGTGGAAATTTCCACTGCTCATAAACAACCAAACAACCAAACAACAACAACAGCAGCAAGAAAATTTGCTTTAGGGGCGAGGGTGGAAATCTATATGTATGTCTACGTGTTTCTCATAGCAGCAACAATAGAAGGCACACACGAAACCGAAACAAAAACATCCCCGAAATTAGACTTTAGTTTTGGAACTCCTTAATTTGTTATCATATCAAACAGAGTTAATGATATTTGCATGCGCCAATTTGACCAAAAGTCGATCAATCAAATAGGATCAAAGGATTCTTGGCGATTTAAGAGCTAACATTTAGATGAACTGATTTAAGTGTCTAAAGACATTTGATTGAGTGTGTCACATGCAGATGATTCACTGTGTCGGGGAATCAAACAAGACCTTTTAATGGATATCAAAAGTTAAGGGGAATTGGCACTGAACCAGAAGTTAAATTCGAAATTGTGTTTTAGGCAAATGTCTAGTTTAGTCAGATCGTCTGATCTTGAAGAGTAACTCTCAGCTGATAAGACGAAACGCATATCGAATATATCTAATAAGATCAGAACTGTCAATATAGAGTATATTTATGGAAATGTGCTTTGAGCTCGGACAAATCGATGTTGACTGCAAATTTCTATCCAATGCATAGCTTTAACCCCCTGAGGAGGAATGCCGAGTGGTTCGCCGATTAGCATTGGCTGGGAACGGGGTCTGTACCTTCGTGGGCAAGGTACCTACTTACGGTGTATTCCGCCGGTGCCAGCGGCGTACGTGAGTCGCTTTTGTGAAAACTCATTTTCACCGCAGCGAAAATCCTGGAGGTGGTGTCGTTATCCTGTCGGCAATGGCAACTGTCGCGCGCTTAACGTATTTAGTAAACTCTCGGTCAACGCGTTGCGGCGCGTTTTCCAGCAATTTCCAAACACTTTTTACAATACAAAATAGAATTTAATGGGGGAAATTTAATGCAAAAATTGAGACTTGATTTTCATTAATTTTGTATAAAGATAAAATGCAATATTACTAATGCAATTCTCAACGACTTGCGACCGGTCTGGTTTTGAAAAATTCAACGTATTCAACGTATTTTTTTTTAAATTTGATTTTCTTGTTCTTGTTAGCTGTCGAGGGAAATTTAAAACGTTGCCAAGACGTTGCAAAGAAAATTTAAAAGTTCTAACAACCGCACAGTTTGACAAACAGAACAAGAATGCCAACCTTCGCGTAAAAACGAGCGAGTAAAACACCCGATTTGACGATTTGACGTGCAACTGCAAGCAGCAGAGAGAGAGAGAGAAAGAAAGAGTGAGCGAGAGAGAGAGAGAGAGAGAGCGGGAGAGCGAGAGAAAAGAGAATGTGTGGCAGAGAGCGGAGAGCCCGTGTCTAGTTCCGCGTTTGATAATGAAAAGTGCAAACTTGCAACGAAAGAAAAGGAAACTTGTTTGGCTCTCATATATGGGCGTTCCGGGGACTATCCAATATTTCCACTTTAAAATCAGTTCCGCTGCACTTGGACTTATTTGGCATATGAGTCACACACTCTCTAGTTTTCCAGAGAGCACACATTACAGATAGTAAAAACAATCCGAATCAGTTATTAGACAAATCTGAGTTAGTCGAACCTAAGTGTAGACTGACAATACCCTGCAATACCCGGAAGCTATTACCGATTATTATACTGAATGTAATAAAATACACATTTCAAAGCTCATTACAAAATGTTTATCCAACCAATAAGTACCGATAATTGTTAACGTTAAACTAAATGCTAAATAAATAGAAAGACAAGGATGCAAAGTGAGAGATAGAGAGGGTAGAGACTGTTAGAGTTACACAGTAAAATATTATCCATAACTGTCTATTTAAGCAGCCCACTATAATTTATATCTTTTTGTCTAACTAGAAATATTGTATATAATATTCTTAGCACACCTTCTGAGCCCCTGTCGTCATAGGGTATAACTAATATGCAGACATTGCAGATAAGGCCATTCGATACACGGAAAAGTCTCAACAATATGCATGGCAAATAATGCGCTAATTAATTAGCGATGCCGTTAGATAAGACAGGGCCCAAAACAACAACAACAAAATAAAATAAAATAAAAGAAATAGGAACGTCGCACATCTACACGCTATGCGTCAAAGGGTGCCCACCAAGGGAGCGAACCTATATACAACTGCGCAAAACTGTGTGTGGAACGTCATGAAGTTGGATTCTCCGCTCTGAAATTGTGCTAAGGCAGAAGAGTTTCATATCACTCGCTCAATTAGCTGGCAATCAAATTGTGTGGCGTTTACCCCAAGCAAATTATTGGCAATTGATTGCCGAAAATATATAAAAAAGCAATGCAAGGGCCATCCAGACATTCAAGGCAGAATATATATATATATATATAAATAGAATTGAGTACGTTTTGGTATGTTAATCGAAATGTGTGCATGAAACAAGTGCAAATTTGAATCAATTTATGTAGGTTCTTTGCAGCGCATTTATTTATGTGTAACTCGAAACGTGCCAGCTGCGTCGGGAACGTTGCAAATATTGAACGGATACCGAGCTCGTCTAACGCTTAACCAGTGCAAAGCGGTTCGATTTGAGCATATGGAAAATTTTGTGATTTGTATTTATTATTTATCATTTTCCAAGTAAAAGTCAATTAAAAATACGAAGTCGCTTCAACTTGACCGAGCTTAGGCCTTTAAAAAGAAAAATCATTGAGAGAGCGGATTAGACAAAAACGACATTGAATTGAACTGAACTCTTCTCCTTGCATTAATCAAATTCACGAATCAAAAGAAACATATATGTTACTTAAAGGGTTGAATTGCGGCAAAGGTTGTAAAGGCGAAAGATAAATATTTTTCCGATCAGCATCAGGCTTAATTTTTTTAACCTCTTCCACAAAACAGCCCTATTGGAAGAACCACCCCAAAGTCGATTTATGCTTACAACTTGTTTGTTTTTTATCCAATTCGTCTAAAAGTAATTTTCGGACGTCTATATTATTATTAAGCAAAAACAACAAAGTCGATCAAGCCATTTGGCATGTCATATCGGCGCTACATACAAATTTCTACTGATTGATAACCGTTTTCCAATATCTATATTAAATATCAAAGTCCCTTACAGCAAGATTAAATTCAGTTTTGGTTTCTATTTAAGCCAAGCAGAAAAAAAAATTTATTTTTGATTAACAGATATTAATTCAAGTTTTGAATTATTAGTTTAATATATGTATATATATGTAATTGTCTACACAATTGTATTTAACAATTTCAAAATACGATCTTTATATTTTTTTGAAGACTTAAAAAAAAGAAAAAGATTATCTTTGTTATAAAATCATACGATCCATACATTTGAACTAGTCTGCCACCTTTTTCAAATATCCGTTACACATTCAGTTGATAAGCAAAATTATATTGCATACTTTGGTGCGCTGTGGCTACCAGCGCCACCTACCGATTACTATTGGCAAACCGTACGAAATAAAGCAACGTTTGCACTCGTCAAAATTGAGGCACTTAACGAAGTCGAAAAGCGCGCCACTTTGGCTGGACATTGCGCATACGCCCCTCAATACGTGAGTTGTGTGTTTTGAATGCGAATTATTTTTGCTTAAAAAATATGCTTAAAATTGGCTTGATTTTTGTGACCTTTGCAACGATTTAAGCACATTTTAGCTGCTTCACTTATGGGAAAACATAACCACAGAAACAAGTTGACACACTTGTAGATTAAATCAAAATCAAGTCGTACTTGAATGCTTATTTACAGCAATTCGTATCAACTGAAATTAAAATTGTAGCTGCGTGCAAATTAGTTTTAAGTTGAGCTGAAATTTAAGAAATTTGCATACAGAACAGTCAGACACATATAAATGCATTCTAAATTTAATCTGACAACCGGTTGCGCACATTTGCCACGATCATTAACAAAGTTACATTTTTTTACGAGCACAAAAGAGTATACGGGGAGAGTTCTCAATGTAAATACTTAAGTTTCAATAAACAAAAGTGTTCTTATTATTTATCAGCAGCAACGTATTACCTAAGACACGTAGCAGTTATGTATGCAAAACACGCGTGCCAAGTGGGAAACGGATTCACATTTAATGCACAACAAAATTAGTCAAAAACATTTCAATAAATTGATGACGTATTTAAAAAAAAAACCCGTATACACCGTTTTCAATGGGTTTAACCCGCAAGCTGTTGACCATCATTTAAAACACACTATCCTGCTGTGCATTTCAAATAAAGGTTACCGATCGTTGACTCAGAATTGATGTTTTCACAGTCAATAACATCCTTCACATAGCTTTCAAGTCTCACCTCACCATCAGCCGACATTTTGGTATATTATATCCTATGAGTCTGATCGCTTCCAATCGTCACAATGCGTTGAGTTCAAGAATCGCTAGAGAACTAATTCCTAGTCGACACTTTCACTCGGGAAGTAATATTGGTCAGTCGCATAACTGGGTGCGCTATTATCCGCAATTGACGATCATCAGAGTACAAAGTGCTTGGCAACTTCAATGACGAGCTTAGTTCATTGGTATTATCATTAATTAAGCAATTTCGCAATCTTAGCGCTTACAGACAGAACTCTATGCATGTTTGTACCGCCGATAACGCAGCCAACACTGAAGATCACAAGCGCCGGTGCTTGGCATGCCGCAAGACTCGTCGGGCCAGTAAAAAAAAGAAAATAGCTCAACGTGCACCACATGTTTGCTTAATTAAAAATCAATGTATTCCCCTAAACTGATTAGCCCATTTTTAGCCATTTTTAACCATTATCAGTTATCCAATTTTAAATATGACTCTACAAATAAAATTGTGATTCATGATGCTGAATCATGACATTGAACTATAAATAATGTTATATACATAATTCGAAATCTAATTGCAGCTAGGATATTTAAAAAAAAAGAGAAGTGACTAACAGCTGCAATAAGAAATGCTGGTATTTTATGAAATTTTATTTAGAGAGAAGTTATGGTATTTCTTTTAACTTAAAAAAAGCAAAACGTAGTGCTAATTTCCATAGTTACTGCCTGTCGCAAGCAGAGCAAGCTTATGAAAAATAAATAATAGACTCTGTCTCGATAACCCCTTCATACAGTCACCCTCAAGGCGTTAAGAAGTTTGTAATAAGCACACAACACTTTACGATCACAATCTCCAGTGCATATGTTTAATAACTTTGTTGCTAATAACGACTTATCAATTACATTTTGTTCTACCTTTAGTTGAGTCATTTTATTAATCCATTCAAAGCACTTGAAGGCAGCGACCCTGTTGGGTAATCAGACGGTGGAATACTGTTCTGCTACTGCCACTTCTGGGCATCATATAAGCTGTCATTAGGCAGTCCACATAACGTGAGCTGATAAGAGATACAACCGAAATGTCGTTACCATTGTTTACTGTTAGTTAACTGACGCCTCTCTGGCCCAGACGAATTATATTCAAACGTACACTGTTTGCCAACTATTTTGTATCTGTGCATTCGGCTGTTGCCAGCAAGTTAATTGCAAATTAAAGGACTCACAGATTCATTATCAGTTTCATTGATTTATATATGCCTAATACAAATTTAATAATGTCAAAGCTGGGCACACGACATTTTTCGTTTTGATTAGCTCACAATCAGCATTGATATACAATTACCAATTCATAAAAGTATCGCGCACAATCGACCACCTAATAGCGTCCGCTGATAAAACCGCTGTGTATCACAATTTTGGGGAGTATCTTAGCACTTACAGTTCCATTATTGTGTTCAGTAACTGATCCACTAATCGTAGCCAGCGTCATTTTTAATCACGTTCCTTTTGCACTTTGAATTCGTAAAACAATTAAATTAAGTATACTGCTTGTTGTGGCGACTGTTTGTTGTTTATGGGACGATTGGCGTGCACCGAATAAAAGCGAAAATCTTACAATACATTCCGTTTTAAATGCAATTTTAATACCAGTGTACTCAACAATTAAACTGAACGCACTCCAATCAAAAGCACTCAAAACTCGCTCGCAGCTCGAGTGAGCTATACAAAGGCAGCCTGGCTGTCCCAGATATACGAATTTTGTTTTGAGTCTGAGATCATGCGGAATATACATAAAATGCTTGGCAATGGCTACGGCTTAACATTAACATTGAAATTACGCCTGCCAGCCAAATGGCAATA